ATTTATTTTGCTATGGGACATTTAATTACGTAAAAATATAAAGAAAGGATTAGAATCATCAATTTTCCAACTAAGAGCTAAAATATAAAACATAAATAGACACAAAATAGTCCTTTAAACTGCAATCTGATAAATAAAAGGCCACAACAGAAACCAAATGTGTCCTAATGAGTGTAACAGACACCTGTAGGCTCTCTGGGTTTACACTAGGGAACATCATCCTTTCATTTTTACACCTTAAAACCCATCTGAAGTTTATATGTGTAAGATTAATGTGTATGGAAGTGTAAAAGAAGTTTAACCAATGATTGAGCTTCATTTAGACATTTTTAAAAGTTTTGATTCTGGTTCGTTTGACTTGAAATGTGTTTTTTCCGACGGTCCCTGAGCGGTCTTTGAAGGCAGCAGCAGCACCCTGGTCTGAGCGGGTCTGGACTCTGGAAGTTGGACTACGTCAACAGGAGAGTGGAGACCGTCCCAGCCCTCAGAGGAGCTGAGCAGAGGCGGCGTCGCTCCGAAACGTCCCCAAATGTCCAGAGAAGGACACGAGCTGATGCGTCTGTGAGCGTTTCCCTGCAGGTGGACATGGTTTCCCCGCGCGTAAAGACGCACTGAGGACGTACAGGAAAGGCTCTTTTACGCTTCTTTTTTTAACCATCAAGAGGAGAAGATGTTGGCCAGAAAAAGCATTATCCCGGAGGAGTTCGGCCTGCCGGGGCTCGCCTCTCGGATGCCCCGCAAGCCGGTGTTCAGGGACCGCGTGAACAAAGCGCGCTTCATCGCCAAAAACGGCTCGTGCAACTTGGCGCACAAGAACATCCGCGAGCAGGGCAGATTCCTCCAGGACGTGTTCACCACCCTGGTCGACCTTAAATGGCGCTTCACGCTGGTCATCTTCACCACGACGTTTGTCAGCAGCTGGCTGCTGTTCGCCATGAGCTGGTGGCTGGTGGCGTTTGCGCACGGAGACCTGGACCCGGAGCGGCAGAACGGGACCCACTGCGTCACCGAGGTCAAGTAAGACAGACACAGATCATTAAAGGTGTTTGATGAGACTTTAGTAGGTTTATTTTTTTTTATTGCGTTCACTTAAATTCTTCTCCTCTTTCCATCCTTTAACCGCCAAACTCCCACCCTCCTCTTCTGCTCTTCCTCCATTTTTAAATTTGACAGAGGAAGAGGAGGAGAGGGGGAGAAAGATATTAATTATGACAGGAAGTCAGGGAATCTTCTGCGCTCATAACTTCAGGGGAAATAAAGTAAAGATTGCAGGAGGGGGGAGAGAGAGTTTGGCACCTCCTCTCACTGTAGCTCACCAACCCCAAGGATCCTTCCTCCCTTCTTTCCATCCTTCCTCCCTTCCTTCCTAGCTTGAGTGTTTCTATTTTCTGCTACTTTATACTTAAAAATGTTGCAGTTTTTACTTTTACATTTGTTTGTTTGTTTGTTTAATGCATTAATTAAGTCCATCGTGAGTCCAAACAGGTTAATATTCATCAGCAGTCCCTGACAAAACATGCAAAATCACATAAGCTCAGACAAATAGTTAAACAATGACACAATATGAGTCCAGACAAAATCACATAACACCTTTTATATAGTTATAATTCAGATTACATAACATACAAACTGTTCAAATACAGCACATTGCTGAAGATTAAACCAGTGTTTCTCAGCCTTTTTGGCTTATATGTCATGTTTCCACTCTGAACTTGTCACATGCTTTCATCAGTTTCTTAAACAGGGGTATTAGTACCCCTAGGGGTGCTTTGGAGTACTGCAGGGGGTATTTAAGGTTTGTTTTTTTATGTTAATCTAAAGGTCTAGTGTGTAACATTCAGGAGGATCTATTGTCATTAATATAACATTCATATGTATATTTTCATTAGTTTATAATCACCTGAATATAGGAATCATTGTGTTTTCATTCCTTAGAATGAGTTTTTATACTGTTGAAGGCCGAGTGGTATTCAGTTAGTTGCAATCTGCTACTTCACCGCTAGATGTCACTAAATCATACACACTATAAATGTTAAATAAACCACATTTTATGTTCAATTTGCTATTTTCAATGCAATCTCTAGTTGTTAGTTGTTCTTGGCTGAAAGACTATTTCAGGGGGAACATGAATAATAAAAAGTTAGAAAACCACTGATTTAAATAACTGTTTGAGGTCCAAAGAGGTAAAACTCTCCAGTAAGATTAGAGGAAAGTCTGAAAAATGAATACATATTTGTTTATCAGACCTTTTTTCTTCTTTTCCAGTAATCATCTCAGGACCCATCAGATTAATTTAGTGACCCTTTGCAGGGGCCTGACCCCTAGGTTGGGAACTACAGGGCTAAACTTTATATAAAGTAGTTCAAACTGGCTCCACCAGGAGCAGCTACGACAGTAAAATGCTGCTCTAACGTAGATGATCAATACTGATCATTGATTTATGATACTTTAAGTACTTTTAGCTAATAATACTTTTGCTTTTCACTTTATTTTTTTCCATCACATCCATCAAAAACCTTGAATATCTCATATAATCAGTGGAAACACATCTTATGCACCATCAAGCAGCTGCAGGCTTATAGAAATGTTTGTTTCCCTTGTGTTGCTTTGTGTATTTGTGTGTTTCTTATTCTCATAACTGAACAGTTGACCAAATCTAAACAAAATTCTGCCTTAAATGGGAGGAACTGTCCTTGAGGGGAAAAAAGGAGGCCAAAGTGATTTAAGATGAATTCACTAAACTTGAGAGAAAGAACCTAAAAATATTCCCACACTGAGACTGTGTCCGGCAGAATGAAGCAGTTTGAGCTGATGAGTCTGAAACTGAAAGGATAACAGTTTCTAACAGTCTGAATCTCTCTCCTCAGGTCCTTCACCTCAGCCTTCCTGTTCTCCATCGAGGTTCAGGTGACCATCGGCTTCGGGGCGCGGATGATAACGGAGCAGTGTCCGACCGCGATCACCGTCCTCATCATGCAGAACATAGTGGGACTCATCATCAATGCTGTCATGCTGGGTGAGGTTTACAAACTGTTTCCAGGTCCATGTGGTATACCGGGTATCGGCGAGTATCTCTGCACCGACTCGATCCGAAGTCACAACCAGCCCTATTCTGACTCTGACCAAGGGTTTAACTTGAGCCAGGTTATATAAAACAGATTTTTAATGCACATGTAGAGCATCGATACTCGTATCAGCCAAAGTTCAGGTATTAGAATCGGTATATGGAAGGAAAAAATTGTATAAAAAGATCTCTAATCAAAATATAAATTACGTATTCAAATTCAATGTATTATATACATATTATATATAATTTTACATTCTTTACATTAATGTAAAAGCAGGATTTTACTGTTGTGACCTTCACAGTGCTTGTTTTGTCAGTCCAAACCTCAAAATTATTAAAGAATACATTAAAATTATTCAAATAATTTAAAGGAAAAGCAGCAAATCGTCACATACTTAAATAAACTGTTGGTTAGTTTAATTATAACAAAACTTCATATTTTATAAACTTTTCAGATGTTTTTTTATGCAAAAACCATCATTTATAAAGTAACTAAAGCTGTCAGATAAATGTAGTGCAATAAAGAAGTATAATATTTCCCTCTGAAAGAAGTACGTATAGTGAGTGTTTGAGTAAGTCTAATTATATCCTGTTATAAATCAAAACAAACGACTAACTAATCTACATCGGTTTGTGTTTTTCTCTCCTCAGGTTGTATCTTTATGAAGACGGCTCAGTCGAACCGGCGAGCAGAGACGCTGATCTTCAGCCGCCACGCTGTGATCGCCGTCAGGAACAACCGGCTGTGTTTTATGATCCGTATCGGGGATCTCAGGAAGAGCATGATTATAGGGGCGACCGTCAGGTTACAGGTGTTTGTCTCGTTCACATGTTTACTTACGAATTTAGACATTTTTTTGCAGCATATTCTTAGTTTCTAGATTTTCTTTTTGTATTTAAACTCCATGTATTTTGTAGATTTATTTTATTCTCTCTTACATTGTAAACCAGAAGAAAGGGGATAAAACTCATCATTTCAAGGCCTCTGTCCTTAAGTTTTAAGTACCTTAAGTAACTTTTCTTCTTTAGAAAATCGTTTGAATTTTAGAAACAAAAAAAATCTGTATTTCAAACATTGTTAACAGTGAGATATGAACCTGATTGTGCTTGAAAATTCAATAGCAGCAATTGAAAATGTATTTATATGTTTAGTTTTTTACTTTGTGTTTCCAAAGCTTAAAGATTCAGGTTTATTTAAAAACTTGAGAGTTTGACTTAAAACCCAAACAGATTAAATGATCTCTTCAAAAAGGTGCACAAAGAAGATTTAAATAGAACTGATATTTAATAATTAATTAATGACTGTACGTCATCTGCAGGTGGTGAGGAAGACGACCACACCGGAGGGCGAGGTGATCCCCATCCACCAGATCGACGTCCAGACAGAAAGCGCCTTGGCCAGCAACAGCCTGTTCCTGCTCGCGCCGCTCATCATCTGCCACGTCATCGACAAAAACAGGTACGGCAACACAGGATGAGTCAGTGGCTCCCAGCTGAGTTCATAGTAGTTTTAATACTTCAACATTTTGCCTAAAAAAACAAGACTATGAGGAAGGACACAAAAATATCTATTCTATTGGTTATTGGATCTATTGACAGAAATATAATATTAATAGGTACGATTTATTAGTGTAAAATCACCTGAAAATAAGAATTGTTGTGTTTTTGCTCCCTTAGAATGAGACGCTTGTATCTACGGAGTCCAACATGTTTCTACGGTAGCCCAGAACGGACAAACCAAACACTGGCTCCTTCTAGTGCTCCTAATGGCAT